CCCCCTTCCCACTCTCTTCATAGGATAACTTCGATAACCTGTCCTCTCTTGATGGTGTATAAAAGGCGAACATAATATAGTTGGCTCACATGAAGTCACAACTTTGCTACGCTAGTGAAGTCTGGTCCCTTCACCATTGTTCCCAGAAGATCGAACTGGAACAAGTGCAAAGGCGTGCTACTACATGGATGCTTAGCTAGAGTCCTTAAAGTTAATTACAGAGACAGACTGTGACTGACTAGTCTTCTGTTACCTTTGTGTTATGATCGTCAAGTGAGAGACCTCACTTAAGACCTTCTATTTGTCAATAAAGCTCTTCATGGCCTATATGATCTAAATGTATTGGACAATGTCTCATTTGTCACTCACAGATGGACGTACAAACATTACTTTTTGGTAACTAGCGTACAGTGTTCTGGGAATTCAACCCGGAAACGAACAAGTACTGTGTCTTCGCAATTTTCAAGACTATAGATCAGTGACTGTATAGGTATAGGTTATTTTGAGGCAACGAGGGGATATGTGATTTATTCACCGAGGCGCGCAGCGCCGAGGTGAATAAACACATATCCCCGAGGTGCCTCAAAATAACGTACTTATTTTTCACACTGCGAGGTCGCGTTAATGAGTCAGAAAAGAAATAATTCTCAATGCCATATTGCTTTTGCGATGTTGTTTTTTCTCATTTTTTGTGCTGCAAAGACATTGCAGGTGAATATTAGAGGGGATTATTAATTGCAGGTGAATATTAGAGGGGATTATTAAACGGAAATTGAATAGAGTGGAATATTGAATATATTCCCCGATAAGAACAAAGGAAACCGAGCAGGATGAAAAATAAATCAGGATATTTAATTGTCTGGTATTATACCAGTTATAAATTCAGCAAACTTGAGTCGTTCCTAAAAAGTCAACCCCATCCCCAAGGGGGGGATTTCTTCTAATCGGAGGGGGTGGGGAGAAAGGGTGGTTTCTGATAGTAGTAAATGCTCTAAAGGGTTAATTTAATTTCCTCCATCAGTGGCGGAAATTCACCTTTTCCGGTGGGGAGGGGGCAAATTGCAAAGCCTCCTAAATTTCCGACAAAACTTTCAAGTTTCCTACATACCCC